AATCACCCACACGCACTGCCCATTTCCTCACTCATGCACACACCCACACACATACCAATCAATCTCCATTGTGGCAGCAGGGCAGCGGCCTGGCAGCAGCTAAGTGGAAATCATTTACTTAAAGTCATTACGGAAAGGAGAAAGAGGTCAGAGACTCAGCAGAGAATCCGGCTCTTCCGCAGCGCTATCACAACACCATGACGAGAACGATACCAGCCCCATTAAACGGCCATCATATCCTTTGACTCAGTGATGCATCATACTTTATTGAGACTGAATTATTTCTAGCTTTTTTTATGTCAAATAGATTTTATAACCTAGAGTGATGTCAGTTCACAACGCCATCCAATCATAACATCAAATGCCTTCCTTAAGTGTGCCACCCCCACAGAACTCCTAAACATTTTAAACCACACCTCTGCATCTTTTACCATGATTTACATAACACACCAATATGAATTAGTGAGGGGGAATGTGTTATATTACAAGCCCCCTTTACTAATATCCCTTAAAATCCATAGCAATTAGTTACCTTAAGAGGCCATTTAATTAATAGTTAAGTTCCCCTGTGTGTCATTTCATATCAGCGCTGTGGAGAACCAAGATGAAATTTCCTCAGAGGTTTGTTAGAGAACGTTAGGGAACAAACACAGCAGGATGAAGACAAAGGAAAATACTGGTTTAAAGCAAACTTATAAATAAAAGTATACTCCAGAATCTGAGTGTCTCACAAAGCACCATTCAAGACATCTGAAAAAGGGATTGAAAAACAATAAACCCACCCAGACAAGGTTCACTAACAGACTGAGCAAGAACAGCATTAATGACATAAGCCGCCAGGAGCTCAAGGATATATTTCTAAGAGCTGCAGTATCCACTGCTGAGGTGGGGAAATCTGTTGACAGGAAAACCATCATTGGTCAAACACCACAAATCCAGCCTTTATGTAATCCATCCTACTGCTAGCCAACAGAAACTGGAGTTTTTTTTTGTTTTTTGTTTTTATCTTGTCAGGGCTCTTGTCTGTGTGTTTGTTTTTTGTGTTTGTCTCCCTTCCACCAATAGGAGGCGCCTGGTTCCGGTCCGCCTCCTCACACACCTGCTGACGGTTACCTCATTAACGGAGTGCTCTTAAGCTGCTGATTGCCAATACCTCGACCCCAGAGTGTTTGCCAGTTTTTGGTACTCTAGCAAAGCTGAGTTAGACTGAGTTAGACTTCTCTGAGTAAGACTGAGTTTTTGTCTCCCTGAGTTTTAACTTTGTTTTGTCTTTGCCTCTCGGCAGGAAGTCATCCTGCAAACTGGACCTTTCCGGACCTTCTCTCCCAGGAGGGATCAACTGAGTCTAAACTGAGCCAGGGATTCAAATAGGAGGTTTGGATCCAGTCTCCTTTGAGGACGTTGAAATTACTCTCTGAGCAAGGGAATCATCTTCACCACGATCCGTTCAAGTACAGCAGGAAATCTGAGTGGCAATCAGCGTCCGAGTTCTGGGTAAACCCTGTTCCGCCCTCCACCGAGTCAGACAAACTCTGGAAATTCAACACACAGATTGGAGTCAAGGATCCTTCACTTCTCTGGAAACGTGAGTCAACAACCAGATCCTCTTCTTCTAATCAACTAATCAAATTTCCCACTGAGCCTGAACTATAGTCTGTCTTCCCCTCATCTTCCAGTTCCGGCTGAGCTGAGTTCAGAGAAACTCTGCACCGAGCTTAATATCTTCAATAAAACCCGTCAAACATTTCATCTGTGTCTCTCTGTTTGGACTTCTGCATTTTGGGTCAGACCTTTAATTAAATCATGACAAATCTGATCTTTCAGTTTGAGAGATAATATTATCGATGGTCGCTAATCACTGCATACACAGTAGCATACACGTGGTTGGAGAAGACATATAGTAGCACTCAGTTCATTTTAAACGGCAGCTACTTCGATATATGTTTAGATAAAAGTTAGGCCACCGAAAAATCCATTCATTAGACATACAGAGCTTTTTCGGGTAAAAATGGTTGTACGTTTATACTAGTTAGTAATATGATGCAATAATATTGGCTATTGATCATATTTGGCTTCTCAGAGGACCATGACTCACAGTTACAGGTCAAAATTAACATGCATCTGTTGTTTTCTTAATGAACAGACAGAATCTGACTGCAGAGCTTCTACATATCTTGAAAATTATTTTCTCTAGCATCATTATATTAATAGACTGGTTTATCAATCTGTTTTTTAAAAGGAGCATTGAGAAATAAGTAGAGACAGCTGCAGATTTAAAATGTGAAACGGATTTACTGGGATGTGCAACATTCAATAAAATATATCTCCAAGTTTACCAGAAAGTTTGCAAGAAAAAATAATCCTATGCTATATTTAAACTGCAACATACCTTTTTGTCTTATATGATTTAGCATAACTCTAAAATAGTTGTGCCAGCCAACGCAGAGACAACTGCAAACAGACTCACAGGTTAGACAGACTTAAAAGTTAAATATTAGAA